AAATGATTTAAGACTTTCTCTGAGTTGCTACTTCAGAAGATATGCCCTCTGGGGAGAGAAGAGCTATGTTCAGTTCTTCCCATTAAGGCTGGAGTCCTTTGCTTGGCTTGTAGAGCCTTCCTGATGCCTGCAGAGTTACATGTTCTCTGTTATGTTAAGCTGGTATCAAGAGGTGCAGACTCTATGGGACTTAGGCTAACTCTGATGTAGCAACATCTTGAGTGTTGCTGATGAAAACTAAGAAGATTAAACTCTGCGTAATCTGGGGATCTTTATGTAAGTGAAGTCCAAATTACCATAAGCTCTTCAAAACATTGATTTGTGGATCAGTAAGAAGGGAAAAATAACTAAAAACTAGCTCAAGTTGCAAATCTGTAGGTCTTTCTCTTTTACAGCAAAAACCCTTTAAAGGTGCTTTGGAATAAGAAAACTATTCTTGTTTTACCTTCTTAAGGGAAAGCAGCTTTGAAGCAGTCATATCTGTTCCTGAGTTAAAGCACAGTTACACTGGATTTATAGAGGCTATTAAAATGCTAAGAGTCACTGACTGATTATTTTAATGCTCTCTCACTATTTCATAAAAGATTACTTTCAAAATTGAACTGCTGTCTTGGTGATATTGCCATTTTACTAAATGTGTATTTTTTTTTTTTAATGCATTCAAAATGAAGAAATACGTTTATGGTATTCAGTTGGTATGTACAAATAAAACAAGAAACAAGGCAGTAAGCTCAGAATGCCACCAAGTTGAACAGGTCTTCACTCTGTTAAATTTACAAAATTGTAACAAATTTGCTTTGGCTTTTATGATTTTATGATTACATTAATTGTACTGACATTAAGCTTGCTTTTCTCAGTTACCAGTTGTGGTCACTGTAGATGAAACATGCAGCTGTAGTGTTCCCTAGGCTTCAGGTATACCCTACTTGAGCAATGTGAATTATGTTATTATCCAGTGGTGTTGATCGAAAGGCCTTGGCAGAGTTTTAAGTACAACCTCTGTCAGACTTCAATCTTCATCAAACAGCAAATGAGAATCAGTTGTTATCTGGAAGAAAATTGAGAGCAGCTTCCTCCCAATTTTCCCAGTTGTAATTAATTTGCCACTTCACTCATGGTTCATATCAGACTTTTCTGAAGAAAGTTGTCTTTTCTCTTGCCCAAGAATCTGGCTGAGTTTCAAGCCTCAAGGCAAAGAACTCCACAGCTATGGTGAGGGATCTGAAGTGACATCTATGTGAGATCATTCTTCAGGACACTTCTACATCACTAGCATCCACACAAACTCTACTTGCAACCAAACCATGCTAGGGAATCATTGAAAGAGCAATAATTGGGTTGGGCCAAGACACTTCAGATGTGCTTTAATGCTGTGGACATCTGCTCCCTAGGAACATTTTGTGGTATGGTTTGATTAACTACTAGAGGCCCATTCTCCAGCCTCAGAGGCACAGGTGTTGTGTGAACAAGCTGGAACAGCCGGTGATTAGCCCCACTCCCTGTTCCCCACCATCATGGCAGGCTCCTCCTCACTGAGCAGCCAGCCCTGCCCTGGCTGCATAACCATTACTCAACAGTAATCAGATACTGGTCCCAAATAATTCCTCTTTACTCAGTGCAGCTCAGGCAAGCTGGATTGTTTGGCCACTCATGATAAGGAAATTTCTAATTTTAGTAAGAAGTTGTTTTTTTTTTTCCCCTGCAAAATCTCTGCTGTTGCTTTGAGATGAATTGCAGTGGATTACCATAGTAATAGACCACCTGGACATTGTTAATGAGGAATTTGATGAAATATCAGTTCTAAAATGAATTTTAGATGAGCTTTTTCCTGCAGCAAGTAAAGGGAGTTGTATCAGATTGTGATTTTCTGTCAGAGATAAGTCGTACTCTACTCAGGTGGTTCAGAGGTACCACATAATTCAAGCACTCACTGTGTGCCAGCTCTGAGCATCCATTTCACAGTGGCAGTTGAGTTAGATTTTAAACTTACGGCTATGAGTTGTGATGTCTTACTATGGCTCTTTCCATATTTTATTTCTATACTTGAAAAGGCAGTCACTTTGCATGTTGAGCAGCGTGATATCAGCACATAGCTCAATGAAGTCATTCAAAGTATCTTCTTCAGTTGAAATTAAGGCTTGCTGAATTTCAAGATTTATGGTTCATACTGAAGCACTGCATTGTTCCCATGTAGCAGAGGATGATACTTCTCCAAGAGCACTGTTGGTTTGTCCAGTCACGTGGGAAGCTGCATATTGCTGTTGATGCCAAATTCTTCCTAGAATGTACTGTAAGAAACACCTTCATGAAGATGAGGCTTTGGTGGGTCTCACCATATGAAGATGCAGAATATTATAAATAATATTTCATCTCCCAGTCTGCAGGCATTGGGCAGAAAAAAAGGAGGACTTTGTTGTTTTGTATTACTCAAACAGTATGCATTTTGGGCTTCATAAATTTTATTCAAGTGGAGATTTCAATAGTTTGAAAATGGCTTTTTTTTTTTTTTTTTTTTTTAAACCCCTTAAGGGTGGCTTATATTGTGAAAGTTCTGTTAAGAGATGATTTTTCTTTGCATGATTTATACCTGAGGCTTCTTTAATAAAGGCTATGAATCAGTAATGGATTAATATCCCTCTGTCAACTGCACCTTTACCATCTGTTTCAGATTATTATTTTAAAAGACACAAACTATTCAATTCAGAAAGTTGTTTAAATATATTTTAAAAATTAAAATGCTGTAATTTAATTCTTGTATCAGAGTGTTGAAAACCCTAGATTAGAAAATTTTATTTCCATTGGCCATCAAGGCAATCTGTCTACGTCCTTTTTTCGGTCAGTTTCTTGACACGCTGTTCCTAATGTATATTACATAGCGTGCAAAATATATATTGAAAATCTAAATATTAATATTATATTTATATTATATAAATATTATATTAAAATTAAAAATAATTCTGGTAGTTTTTTTTTCTCATTTGTTGGCATGGCATTAGGAATTGTTTGTTATAAGAAATCTTGTTAATTCCTTTTTGCGTGTGGTTATAATGAAACCCAAGTTAACTTGAAAGAATATTGCACTTAGAAAAATGTCTTTGTTCTTCCAGAGGATGCCAGCACTTAAAATTCAGAATCAATTTTGTTACACGAAAATTCAAATGGAATAGAAAATTGGAAATATACATTAAATGTATAATCACAGAATCAGAGTGCAGGGGCTGGAAGGGATCTCTAGAGGTCATTGAGTCCTGCCTCCGTGTAAAACAGGCCCCCTACAGCAGGCTACACATGTAGGTGGCTGGCTGAGTCTTGAGTATCTCCAGAGAAGGAGAATCCACAACCTCCCTGGGCAGCCTGTTCCAGTGCTCTGCCACTCTGACTGCAAAGCGGTTCTTTTGCACAATGGTGCAGAACCTCCTATGCTCAAGTTTATGGCCATTTCCCCCTGTCCTGTCCCCACAGACCGCTGAAAAGAGGATAATAATAATAATAATAATTGTCCTTACATATACTAATATCTTTGATTACAGTGAATTTAGTACACATATAGGTGTCATGCATTACTGTTATAACTCTTTTGTAACTTACTCAATATAACGTCACTGCACAGGGTAGCCACTTTGTCAGATTTATTCCCCATTGAGATTTGTCCTTTTTCCTACTGCTCGAAAATAAAATAGGTGCAACATTGAGGTTGTGGTTATTTTCATGCCAGAAAAAATCTTTGGTCATTTTAATTACATTCTATTCTATCAAAATATCAAGTAATCTCTTTTTAAATTTTTTGGTACTGTACTGTTAAAATTTTGGCTAATTCTGACTGTTTTTGGCTGATTGAATCCATGACCTCTAGATCATAGAGTCACACAGTGGCAGGGAACCTCTGCAGGTTTCTGCTTCAGCTCAAAGCAGGTTCAATTAGAGCAGGTTACTCAGGGCTCTGTCCCATCTTTAAGGATGGAGGTCCCGTACCTCCTCTGGTTCCCCATTCCTGTGTTTGGCAGCCCTCATGGCAGTAAGTGAGTAAATAAATAACATGATCCCTAATTGATTTCCTGTTTTCTGGCTTCCATCCATTCCCTTTCATCCTGTTACTGTGCAGCCCCAAAGATTGTCTGGTCCCATAAGATCTGAACCCTCTAACTATTTTAGAGTTATTCACTGGACATTGCTTGGTCCAGTGAGACTCCCTTTTTTCACTGTGGAAAACTGAGCAGCCTTTCAGCCTTTTTTTATAACTTGTGTGCTCCAGTACTTTGTTGGTCTTGTTGATCTGTGCTACACAATGTCCAGCACAGCAAAATCTTACATGTGCTCTGATATTAGAGAAAGATATGTACACAAAACAGGATTTCAGGTGTAAAAAGCAAAATACTGGTATTATTTCTGAATCTTTCAAAATCTTTCTGTTGTCTTTAGTCTCAAATAGAGCTTAATGGTGTTTTGTTTTGTGTTCTGCTTAAATAACTTCAGTGGTAACTAAACTTCAGAGGGAATACAGATTAATTAAATTTCAAATTCCAGTTTACAGAAGGTTGTGTTCATTTTATATCACTGGACCAGCCTAGAAGAGGGTATTTTCTGTAGTGATTTTCCTTTCATTCTGAGTTTCTAAGTCAAAGCATATGGAAGAATGTGATTTAGCTTTTCAAAGTGCATACAAGTTAGGTGATTATTCATTTTTTCATAAAGCAGAACTGAAAAACAGTGGAGTCATAGCAGCCTTGCCCATGGGTTATTTTGTTTCAAAATATCTTTCTTCTAAAGAGCTTGAGATAGCATGGTCCTAATTCCTGTAGAAAGAAGTGAATTTCTAAATGCGTATTTTATTGCTAACACCATATGGCCTTATATATATGTAAAGGCCATTCATGCTAGCAGGCTCAAAAAGTGAATGTGTAGTGTGTCTTTTAACATTACTTCTGTTAAAGCATAACAATTGCTGTGTTCTTTATTTTCATTCTCACTTCAGTGTTGATCTTTCTGTTTCCTCTTTTAAGGAACCTCTCTTTGAAACTGTCGAAGGAGGTAGAACAAGGAGAAACCAGGTATCCCCGTATTAGCCAGCTGGCTGGCAGCCCATCTGTGGAGTGGCCTTTTACTGGTTTGGAAGAAGGCGGAGGCATTGAATCTTTGCCCTTCAGACTGATGCTGCAAGATTGCACAGCTGTAAAGACATTGCTACTGAAAATGAAGAGGGTTCTTCAGGAGGTAATTGCCCACTCATTTGTTAAATTAATAGCTTTCTGCATTAATGAGCTAAGCAGCAAAAGAAGGTCAGAAGAGTTTATGAACTCAATGTCTCATAATATGTTTTGAATATATGGCATTGATGCAGAAATATAAATAGCCCTGTCCCAGTGTGGCTGAAGTCAGAAAGTTTATACAGTAGCAAAATTTAACAGATGCTGCCATTTTGGTGTTCAGAGAATAAAGCTGCTCTTCTGCTTTCACCTAAAAGGTGGTGGATTGATTTAGATCAAAACAAATTGTCTTCCTCTCTTATTTTGGAATTTTACAGTTTTCTTACTGCATTTGTTAATCAGTATGTTGTCACGTGCAATTTATTCAGAGAAGAGATTCAAAAGGAGAGAAATGTTCAAAATAGACGTACTAAAGCTAAAGGTTACTCTCTTGGGCCTGTAAATGGCAGGTGAAATCAGATTTCTTAGTTCATTATATCAGTGTTAAGAGTGTTGACTTGTTCTGCCCCACTACATTCTTCGCCTCTCACTTAGACTACTGGTGTTTATTTGAAAATCACCCTTTGCATTGTTTAGGATTTTAGAATAAAACAAATTATTTTTGTGGGATTTCTTTTACAATTTCCAGCTGTGAAAATTTGACTCAGATAAGTTTTTGGCAAGTTTTCATCTTGATGTCAGTGCACTAGAGCATTCTTGTTCTTTAATATCTACAAAAATTACTTTTTTTTTAATTTGTTTAATTCATAGACTTAGTAGAATAACTTATGTTCGGAGGATTATATGGAGATGCTAACCCCCTGCTTAAAGCAAGGCTGACTTGAAATAGGTTGCTCAGTGCCTTGCCCATTTTACTCTTCAGTACATTAATGGGAGTACCTTAATGGGGCTTCCACAGCCTTTTGGCACTACCATGCCATTGTTTAACTACATCATTGCAAGCTTGTTACTTAAGATATATTCAGAATTTCCACTGATGCAACTTTATCATATGAGGAAGTGACATTTGCCTGAGACACTTAAATAAAGCATTGATAAGTTCTTTTTTTTTTTTTTTTTCCCCCACTGTTTGCTTCTTAATCATCTGTATCTAAGGTCAACCAATTGTTCTGCTGTCTGAAGATGTTTATCAGAAGTTTAGCCATAGTAGTTGTCCATTAGCCCTACTAAATGGCATGTTTTTACTGGATATTGAGATCTGTACCGTTCACTTTCCCTCAGTTCTCAAGAAACTTTATGCTGTTGAGCTTCCTAGTGGACTTCTGTTTCGTTGAATACAGAACTGAAATAATTAATTCTCAATCAGTTCTTTCTCATATAATGTAGGGATATGGAGTGGATTTAAAAGTTCCTGTCCACTGAGCAGGATTTGGAACCACCTTAAAAATGCAAATAAATATTAAGGATTATAATATTATAAGACATATCAGTTGTACTTCATCTGGTTGCATTGGTAGCTTATTGTGTGACTATTATGTTTTGCTTAAAATGATTCATTTTTACCTTAAAGGTAAGGATAACCATTTTATTTTTGATTAACAAGTTCCATTACACTTATGTATGACTCTACTGAGATTTTCTATATGTCAGTAAGTTGTACTTTCTAGAACATTTTTAAATATATATTTAAATACATATTTTTAAAATACATATATTTTAATACATATTTAAAAGCATTCATCGCATCATTTCCACAAAAGAAATTCAATGTATTTAATATACCTGAGTTACTGACACCTCCTTATATTATTCATACTGATTTTATTTTTTCTTCTTATTCATTGACTCTCACTTCTTCCTTTTTGCCATATAATTTTTGTCTTTCCACCTGACAGTATCACAATGCAAAACGTAATCCTGTCTTTCTCCTTTTCTTTTTGTCTTGCCTTCCTTATGAAATCAGAACAGCCTTTTACTAATCCCATAGTTGGATATTATGTATATGCTGTGCGTATATAATAAATGTGCTGTAATTTATCTCCCTATTTTTTTTCAATGCTTTTGAGGTGCTGAATAATGATTTTGAGGTAGAATATCTTATTAGTAGTACGGATTATTCCAGTACACAGCTGAAGCAAATTCTGATTCGATTAGAAAGAATTGATCAATCTGTTGATTATCTAAAACTCATTTTGCTGCCTGGAGTTGTTATTTGTATCTTGATTGTTTTTGTTGTGCTTTAGAATAAATAAATAAATGAGTGACTTCTAATAATGGCAGTGATAGCTATATAGTGAAATAATAGCAGAAATTATATGGGGAATGCTGCAAAATAGCATTATTGCTTAGATTTCATATCCCTGTAAAAGAGTTAGCAAACCTGTCCAGTATACAGTAGGCATCACCCTTGATATAACTGTAGGAGAGCAGTAACAATAAAATGTTCACAAAAAATGTTATTAACACACTAAAACTCGAGGAAATGAGCCAAAAACTGAATATGATTCAAAAGAATATAAGTAGCCTGGTTTGAATGGTGTAAGCAACTAAAGAAGAGATGACTTTGAAAGGTACAAAAAAAAATTGGTATTGGAGTGACAGAACTTCATTATCTTCAGAAATACAGACATTTATATATTTATGTCACTTTTAAATTATTAGTGGAAGATTCCAGGAAAATATAATTCCATCAAATTGAAACATTTGATGGAAGAATCTGACAAATAATTCATCTGAGCATATGTGGCAAGCAGTTTCCATGGAGAAGGCATCTTAGTTCCATTCTAACTAGATGTAATTTCTTTATCCAAAAAACAGTTCCACCCCAACCAATATTATAAATCAAACTCTGTGCAGTACAGAATTAAAATATGGAAAAGAAAAATTTGTTCCTTATCTTTGAACTCTCATCTATTTTTAGTCTTAGGTGAACATAGTCTCTGACAGGTTTATAGAACTGAAATATTTTATACCTGTAATATTAAAAAATATATATATAATTATTTTTAGAATTAATAGTACATTACATGTGTTCATCCACTTTTAAAAACATAAAATCATGCAGCCTATATTTGAAAAATGGCACAATTTATCAGAAGAAAAGCTTTGGGTTTTCTCTTTTATAGCTGATGTTATCCAGAGAAGAACAAATTACAGGAGTGTATACCTCTGTATTGAACAACCGCTTCTGACTAGTAATTTAATTATGTTCTGCCAAAATGTAGTACTAGTTAAAAATATATATAATTATTTTGTTGTAGCAGTTGTTTGTAATTGAGCAATCAATATCAAAAAGCTGAATGCAATATATGCTGTACTGTGTTGCAGATTTGTAAAGCTGTGAGTTTAGCTTGTTATTAGTCTTATTATGAGAAAGGAAATTGAAAACGTGGCAGTAACTTGAAAGGCTGAGAATGTTATTAGGTAACGTATTTAGTAAGACTAATGAATGATTGTTCGATTAAAAGAATTAATTACAAATTCACTTTCAGTGAAGAAGCCTTGAAAATGTCAACTTAGAATTCTCTGTATCTTTGGCTATGTAAGTCTCACAAATGTTTTGAGAACTTTACTGAACAAAGCTGAAGATAGACTGGAGAACACAAGGAAACTCAGTGATGCAGCAGAAATCAGTCAAGAAAGTATTTCTGAATCCATACAGCAGCTTTATTGTGGATGGTTTATTTCTGACGGGGAATTTTTTAATAAATGGGCTAGCCAAGACCTGTGACCTGCGAAGTTAAAGAAGTATTTTGAAAAAACATTACCAGAGATTAGCAACACAGCTTGATAAAAGCCATTTCAGAATATAAGACACTGTAGGCTGACATGTGGCCTGTCTATGATTTGCAGATATTTCTTGGTCTCCCTTTTCTTTCCATTTCAGTCTATTGAACTAGTTTTTGTTTGCTTGTTAATTTGTCTTTTGTTTGCTTGTTTGTTTTGTCCTCAAGGTGCCTACCTGGTGTTGACCTTTTTTCAGCATTAGTTCCCCACATACAAAAATAAAAATTGGTAGGTTTGTCCTCTCCTTACAAATGGATTCTTTACTTTCTAACTTTAGATGGGCTTCTTTGCTCTGAACTTGGCTTCTGGACTCGGAAGAAGACATTGGCTTTTGTCCTCCATGTATTTGTTATACTTCCTATGTTTTATTACATTTCAGACCATATATTGTTTGCATATAATCAATCAGCATCTTCAAATAAGAGTGTAGATTCTTTGTTAGCTATTGCTATTAACACTAATAAATATATTATTATATATATGTAATAACTTTCCCAAACTACATAGGTTGCTCTGAAAGGAATACTTCCTGTTTATTTCCATTGAGACTAAAAGAGATACAGAGAGTACTATAACACTATTTGATAGAGCAAATTCTCAGCTACAAATCACTACTTTTCAACACAGTTGCTACCATTAGCTATGCATTTTTGCTGGCAATTAAGTGGAACCTGCATGCCATGATCATAACAGTCTGTGTCAGTGGAGGTGGCTCATTGTCACCACTGCTCAAATGTACCATCTACTACCTCACTGTACTTGTATGCACTTTTTGGTCACCATAAATGTTCTGCAAGCATCAATGAATGTTGATGGGAGCAACTTTTTCTGCATGGAGGAATTCAGTTCCACACCATTGCTTTGTATGCACTTCCCTGTCAGGCTCCATTTTGTCAGACTGCCCCTCTGCTGCCATCTGTCACATGACTACAAAATGTAATGGAATATTGGTAGGAAGGTTCAACCTCTACTGCCATACCACAAACACTCACCTCTGATATCAGGGGCCAAAATAATAAAATAGGAGGCATTACTTTTGGAGCAGCCCTTATATATATTTTTTTTTTCCTGTGCCAAATGAAACTTGGGATATTTCCATCTATTGCCATTTAATGGTTTGAACGATAGCTAGCAGGGAGAATATCAAAGGGTGGCTAACTGAGAGAACATTTAAGGGCTTGGCCTTTCTTGAAATCATTGACAGAGCATTTCAGGCAGAGACACGTGAGCAGAACTATTTGTAGTTTTGTGCCTGGCAAGAGAGGGTCTTTATGCTGAAAT